GGTTAAGTCTCTCTCAGGGAGGCGTGATAGGGAATGGCAAAGGACACACCGACAAAGGAGATTAATCAGAACTGACCTTGACAAGCACTGTGGCAATTGGACAATTAAAACAGACATTCGGTTGGCGGGGAAGAAGAACAAACTGGGGAGGAGGGTAGAGAGAATGGTGTAGCAATGAAGGAATGAAAACCCAAAATCCCTATAAATGTTCATTAAACCTAATAAAATTTTAAAAAAAGAATAACAACAACAAAGCTTATTATGCTCAAGTCTGAACTGACACATAGTTAATTACTTAGGAGGTTCCTAAAAATATAAATTCCCATCTTTTGGTGAACTAGAATCACCAGAGAGGTATGCCTTTGAGGTAGTAGTACAATTACCTAAACAAGCATACATGCCTATGATATGATAGTGACTGTCCAAAGCATCAGACTAAATTCAATGAATCAAATGCCACAGATGAGATGCTATAGCAGAAAAGTTTAAGATTTCACACCCAAATCTCTTCCTAAATGATGAGGAAAATCATAATAATTACTATATAAAAGTGTGTAGACACACCCCATAGTGATATAATGGTTAAATTCTTTGTTGCTAATTGAAAGGTCTCCAGTTATAAAGCTCCAGACCATTTGAAGAAGAAAGATGTAGCAGTCTGCTTACAGAAAAATTTATAACTTGGGAAACTCTATGTGAAGTTCTATGTTGCCATATAGGATTTCTGTAAATTAGAATGCACTCAATAATCATGCAGTGTTTTTATTTTATATACTCCTTAACTCATTGGCATTGAGTGTATTTCAATTCATAACAACACTGTAGGACAGAGTTCTTGTTTAGAATAGAACAGCCTCCTCAGTGAAATATCCTTAACAAGATGAATTGACACAGTAACTGTAACAATGGGCTTTGGCATATAAGAATTCATGAGGATGAGGTAAGATAGGGCAAGGTTCAGTTGTGTTGTTTATAAGTTCGCTTGAGTTGTAGTTTACTTGATGGCACTTAACACTGACAATTTTTACAGAATCACAGTGCTACTTCACTCTCTCTCAGCTTGAAAACAAAATGTCAAGTGCTTAACAGTTTCGTGTCATTCTTTTTAATTTCCTATTGCTTTCTTTCTTTGGAGAAATTTATCATCCAAGGATTTGAAGGAAAGCCTAGAGGATAAGTAGTTGTGCTTCCAACCCAAAAGCAAACAGTTTAAATTCACAACTTAAAACAGTTTAAATTCCTCAGTAAAAAGATGGACAATATCCTCATATGCTATTTACAACTTACGGCCTCTGGAAGTCTGCTTAGAGTTAGCTCTTAATTGGGTCTGAGTAGTGTACTAATCATTGCAATCATTGCCAGCACTGAGGAAAATGTATCTAGTGCTCCTACCCTGCAAGCACACACACAGATTTACAGAGTTTTTATTAAAGCTATTTTACTTTGCATTAAAAGTTGGCCACATAATAATTGTTCTGTGCTTTCTGAAAAGATTGCTCCAGATTCTAAGGCATTTATGTTTATTTTAGGCTGCTGAATAAATGAAGTTGGTTTTGCTTTATTTGTATTTGGGGTTTTGTTGTTATTAACTATCATATGTCTTTCTAAGGCATATAATTGTAAAATCTTACATCTAATGAGAAGATTTTTAAAAATATGAACATTAATCTGATAACCAGGTTTTAAGAGGTAACAACTGATGTGAGGAAATTATCATAATGTATTTTGAAGAGTGAATGACAGCCAATGGAAGTTTGTCTAATGGAGTTAGAGTAGTGATTTCTGTTGACTAGGAAAATACAAAACAATGCTTGTATTTTTATGTGTCACTTCCAATGTCACAACCATGTGCGTGTTTTTCCTGTAGGATGAACCAAGCTCTGGGATGGATCCCTGCTCTAAGAGGTACCTGTGGGAAACAATACTGAAAGAGGTCCAAGAAGGATGTGCTGCGGTGCTGACATCCCACAGGTGTGTTTCATACACTTTCCTAACCATTTCCCAAGTGAGACTCCACTTCATAAAGCATCTCTGATTGCATCTAGGAACTCCACACAGTGGTAAGCATGCAATCTGTCATTTTTTTCACAAGACTGTGGAGCACCAAAAGAAGATAGAAGTAATACAGAGACAAAGTGTCAAAAATAATTTCCTATTCAACCATTTCAGAAAGTAGAACATAAACAAGAACCAAGGATGTTGAAGGAAGAAATCTAAGCTGTACTGAAGACATTAGCAAAAAATAAGGCCCCAAGAATTGATGGAATGCCAATGGAGATATTTTGGGAAATAGATGCATTCCTCTTCAGACTTACTAGTCTATGCTAAGAAATTTGTAAGACAGCTACTTGGTTTCTATGAATAGTGTCAACCTAAATTATGTACAGTAAATATATGCCTGTGGTCATAATGCCAACTGGGAATGCATTCCATTTGTTTTATGATGATGCAGGATGAGTGTGAAGTGTTTTCTGAGTCAACTTTTGAGATATAAAAGAAACAAATAGGCAAGCAAGCAGAGATGAGTAGATAAATATGAAAAAAATAGAGATCTCCAGTAGAAACTAAAGAGGCAAGGACCTTCTTTCAAAGCTAACAGAATGTTTGTCCTTAGAGCTAACACTGAATATAGACATATAGTCTTCTACATTATGAGACACTTATCAGTCCTATGAAACAACATATTAGAACCTTGCCTTATCCAGTATCTTCCTAAAAGTGTCAGGAAGGCTTTAGCTCATTACTAAAGTCACTGAGCCAATCCTTCTTGTTAAGGGTATTCCTCCATTTCTTTGACCTTTCACCTTTCCAAACATGATGTCTTTTCTTAACAACTGGCTTCTCTTGTCAACATGCTCAAAATATATGAGATGGCGTTTAATAATTCTTGTCATTAAGCAGCACCCTGGTTGCAATTTCTCCAAGATAGATTTGTTCGTTCTTTTGAAAGTTCATTAGCTATTCAGTATTTTTCACCAACACCACAATTCAAAGGTAGAGAGTCTTCTTTGGTATTCCTTATTCACCATCCTGCTTTCACTTGCATAGGAAGCAATTTAAAAGACCATGGATTTGATCAGAAACATCTTAGCCTTTAAACTGAAACCATTGCTCTTTCTTTGGAGAGCTCCTTGCCAACAGACTTTCCCAATGCAATGCATCTTGATTTATTAACTACTACTACCACTGTTGTTGATTGTTGGTCTAAGTAAATAGAAATCATTGACAAGTTCAATTTTTCTCCCTCTATCATGATGTGAGGTTTTTTTGTGTTGTTAATGTTGAGATGTAATCTATATTAAAGGCTGTTTTATTTGCTCTTCTTCAATAAATGCTTCAAATCTTTGCTTTCTGTGCACGAGGCTGAATCAACTTCATAACAAAGGTTATTAATGGGTAGTTTTCTTGTTTGGATCCACAGTCTTCTTACTAAAAGCCCAGCTTCCCAAATTATTTGCTCATCATATTGATTGAATGTTATTGTTGCTATGTGCTGTTAACTCACCTGTGATTCATAGCAACTCTATGTACAACAGCTTTGAAGACTGCCCTGTCCTGAGCCAGTCTCACTTACTCCAACACACCTACTCCCACTGTCCTAGTTACTGCATCAGTCCATCTCATCTGAGGTCTTTCTCTCTGCACTGTCCCTCCACCCTTCCGAAAATGATAGATATCCTTCTCAAAAAAAAAAATCCTTCTAGTCACATGCCCTAAGTATATGAGACAGAGCTTCAAAATTCTAGCCTCCAGGAAAAAGCGTGGTTTCACCTTCTCCAAGGCAGATCTATTTGTTTGCTTCAAGACTCTTCTCTAGCACCACAGTTCAAATGCATCAATCTTCCTATCATCCTTAGTCACTATTCAGCTCTCAGATGCATAACAAGTAGTTGAGAAGACCATGGACTGGACTAAGTACACCTTAGTCTCTAGACTGACATCGTTGCTTCTTAATATCCTGAAGAGGTCCCTGATAGCAAATTTTCCCAGTACAATTCCTCTTGATTTCCTGACTGCTGGTGCCAAGACTGATGATTGTGGAGTTGAGAAAGCAGTAATTGTTAACAACTTCAATCTCTTTTCTGTCTTATATGGTGCTGGCAAAAGGCCTAGTGGAGAGGATCTTTAGCTTCTTGATGTTGAGCTTCCATCCATATGGAAGTCTGCAGTCTTAGACCTTCTGCAGCAAGTGCTTCAGATCCTCCTCAGTTTCAGCAAGCAAGGTTGTGTCATCTGCATAATATAGATTGTTGATGAGTCTTCCTCCAATCCTGACACCACATTCCTCCTCATAAAGCCCATGTTCTGTGTATAGATTGAAAAGGTATGGAGACAGGATGCATCTCTGACATACTCCCTTACTGACTTTTAACCACACAGTGTGTCTCTGCTCTGTTCTGAGGACTGCTTCCTGGTTCAAGTATACGTTTTGAGTAAGCACAATCAAGTGTTCTGAGATTCCCATTCTCCTCAAGGTTAACCACAATTTGTTGTGAGCCACACAGTCAAATATCTTTGCAGAGTCAATGAAGCACTTATACACATTCCTCTGATACTCATTGCTTTCTACCAAGATCCATCTGACACTGGCAATAATGGCTCTAGTGCCACAACCTCTTCTAAACCCAGCTTGTATTCCTGGTAGTTCTTTGGCAATGTACTACTGTTCCAGTCATTTTTGAATGATCTTCAGCAGGATTTTCTTTGTGTGATACTGACATTTTACGATAATTTACACACTGTCAGGTCACCCTTTTTTTTTCAATGGGAATAAATGTGAATCTCTTCCAATCAGTTGGCCAGGTAGTTGTCCTCCAGATTCCTTGGCACAACTTCACGAGCAGCCTGAAGTTCCTTCTTCATCATCATTGCCTCTTGATCAGATGTTGTTTCTTGAAATTATTCTGTGTCAGCCAATTCTTTTTAGTACAGTGTCACTGTATACGTCTTCCCTCTCTTAATGCTTCCTGGATCATTCAGTATTCTGACCATAGAATCCTTCAGTATTGCAACTTGAGGCTTGAATTTGTTCTTTAGTTCCTTCAGCTTAAGAAATGCAGAGCGAGTTTGGCCTTTTTTATTTTCAGACTCCAGTTTTTTGCACATTTTGTTATAATACTTTGCTTTGTCCCTGCTCCTTAACATTTTGGGTTTGACTTTTTTTTTTAGCATTTTGACAGAAATTTATTATTTAAATAAAAATATCTCTGCATTTAGTTAGAACAACAAAAATATT